TAAACCACCAGAAAACCGGAAGTGGCGCTGTAGCTCAAGTGGTAGAGCGCTCGCCTTGAGCTGAAGAGCTGAGGGACAGCGCCCAGGCCCAACCCCGAAGAGCTGAGGGACAGCGCCCAGGCCCAGAGTTCAAGCCCCACGACCGACCAAAAAAAAAAAAAAAAAGAAAGAAAGGATGGGAAAACAGCCAGCAAACTTGTGAGCTAAATTTTTAAAAGCCACATGCCTCTGATTTATTGAGGCAAAGAAGAATGAAGACTGTGATCTTGCCATCTCAGAAGGAGATGTTGCTATTTCCCAAACAGAACCAAATGTCACAGGCTTTGCTTCACGCTTTGCTTCTTGGGACAAACTGAGTTCCAATCTTCCATTTCTAGTTGCATACTAATGGCTAATTCACTTGAAACTACCATTTATTGAAAAGAGTACATTAATTTGGCTTCACCTAACAGCTGCAATTCTAAGTGCCATCATATTTCTATTTTGGGTTTGTTTTTTTTTTGGGGGGGGTCGGTCATGGGGCTTGAACTTGGCTGGGCACTGTCCCTTGGCTCTTCAGCTCAAGGCTAGCTGCTCTTCCATTTGAGCCACAGCACCACTTCCAGCTTTTTCTATTTATGTGGTACTGAGGAATCAAACCCAGGGTTTCATGCATGCGAGGCAAGCACTCTACCACTGAGCTTTCCCAGTCCCTCTATTGTTTCTCATGAAAATGAAGCCATCACTTAACTTAGCAGAGTGAGTTGGAACCGCAGCCTCAACTCTTAACATTCTTCCTTATTGTTTCCAAACAGGTAATATCTCTTTCCCAAAGCTGGGCGAACAAGAGCCCTTCTCTCATGGCTAATTGCTAGATATTCTGGGAAGGGTGTACGCTGTGAATACATGGAAGCACAATGGTGGCACTGTTATTGTGAACCTTACTGTTCTATCACCTGAAAAAGTGGATGTTTAAGCAACTCTTAGTAACTGACTCTTCTCAGGAAGATTTGAACAATATCCAAGTAAACAAGGCAATGAGTTCCTGATGCTAATGGAAAAGGGAATATCAACTTCCAAGGAAATGGATCAAGTATTTACAGACTTATTCAGTATGGAAGTTACCCTCTTTCATCTTGCTGTAAAAGAATTATGTCTAACAAACTGTGTATACTGGAACTTTTTTTTTTTTTTTTTTTTGGGTCCAGTCGTGGGGCCTGAACTCTGGGCCTGGGTGCTGTCCCTCAGCTCTTCAGCTCAAGGCTAGCGCTCTACCACTTGAGCCACAGCACCACGGCTTTTTTCTTTTTTCTTATGTGGTGCTGAGGAATCGAACCCAGGGCCTCAGGCATGCAAGGCAAGCACTCTACCACTGAGCTACCTTCCCAGCCCCACTGGAACTTTTTTATATACCTGGTTATCAGAGTATCTGATCACCAAGTGATAATCTGAGTTGTCATTTTTGTTTTCTTTGTATTATCTTTACCAGGCACACTGAATTTTTTCCTGGATACCTACTTATTCTGAGCAGAGGACTTTCTAGAAAGTCCTGGAGCGTGCTGAGTAAGCTGTCTTAAGAATTCCTAAGCTAAGCCAGGAGCCAGTGACTTACACCTGTAATCCTAGCTACTCAGAAAGCTGAGATCTGAGGATTCCAGTTCAAAGCCAGCCCCAGGCAAGAAAGTCCTTGAGACTCTTATTTCCAGTTAACCACCAGAAAACCAAGTGGCACTGTGGCTCAAGTGGTAGAGTCCTTGCCTTGAGCTGAAGAACTCAGGAACAGTGCCCAGGCCCAAAGTTCAAGTCCCACAACCAACAAAAGAAAAAAAATTCCTAAGTTTGGGGCTGGGCAAGTGGCTCAGTGGTAGAGTGCTTGCCTTGCATGCATGAGGCCCTGTGTTCAATTCCTCAGCACCATATAAGCAAAAAAGCTGGAAGTGGCGCTGTGGCTCAAGTGGTATAGAGTGCTAGCCTTGAGCTGAAGAGCTAAGGGACAGTGCCCAGGCCCAGAGGTCAGGCCCCAACACTAGGGAAAAAAAAATTCCTAACCTAAAGTAGTTCCTGGGCCTGGGGGCTGGGAAGGTGGCTCAGTGGTAGAGTGCTTGCCTTGGATACATGAGGCCCTGGATTCGATTCCTCCGCACCACATAAGAAAAAAGAAAAAAGCCGGAAGTGGCGCTATGGCTCAAGTGGTAGAGCACTAGCCTTGAGTTGAAGAGCTAAGGAACAGCGCCCAGGCCCAGAGTTTAGGCCCCACAACTGGACCCCCCCCCAAAAAAAAGTAGTAGTCCTGGGCCTGTTTTTATTCTTTCTATTCCTCCTTTATCTGTAGTACTTTTTAGTTTAATCTACAAGGTCACCTTATAATTCTGAGCTTGCCCAGTTGAAGTATTCAAGCCACCAGCAAAACAAACATCATTACTGCAAGTAATCTATCCCACCTTTCCTACAAACTGGGTAGCAGTTATTACAACTCAGTGATTGCATTTTTTTAGCCTCTACTGCTACTATACTGTGTGTACAATCAAGGACAACCACACTTATCAATTACTAAACATTTAAAATATATTTCTAAACAGAATGGGCCAACTCAGTCACAGTAACTGCTGATATTCAGAGCAAAACAGCCCACAAAGACACAGCACTGATTTCTTTTGGGTAAAAAATATACAACTTGTTTCTGAACCACAACCACTTGTGCAGTTTAAAACGTTTTGCTGCTAACATGGCCCTGGTAGAAATTATGTCATTTTTCTTTTTTTTTTTTTCCTTAAAAAAGTTTCTTAAAAATTTCCTAGACACTAAATTACCAATCTGGAATGTAGATCCTGAGGACAAAGCAGCTCAGGTCATCTAAAAAAAAAAAAAAAGAAAAATTTCCCATCACTTGTCTCAATAGGGTCTGAAAGGAGAAAAGTAGTGTGGGGAGCCCCTGCTTTGGTATGGAGAGTCACGGCCCCTTGACCCAGACCGAGAACGTGAGTAGCCATAGCTTGTGCTTCTCTCAGGATAAACTCTGATGTAGGAGGTTTCACCCTGAAATTCAAAGACAAAGAAAAAAGTAAGTACCAGAATAATAAGCAAAGCCTTTACCTAACCTGGCTGCCTAACAATAGTTGTTTTTGTTTGTCCTGGGGCTTGAACTCAGGGTTTGGACACTGTCCCTTAGCTTCTTTTGCTCAAGACTAGCACTCTACCACCTGTACTACAGCACCACTTCTGGCTTTTTCTCTTATATGATGTACTGAGGAATCAAATCCAAGTCTTCATGCATGCTAGGCAAGTAGTCTACGACTAAGCCACATCCCAACCACAATAGTTAAGTTTTGAGCACTTAATCTACATGACACTGTTCCTTCATCACATTAAAGAAGGAGATATTCTTATCACATATCCAAAAAGAAGGAAATTGGCCCAAGTGATGGTGCCTCACACTTATCATCTTAGCTACTCAGGAGGCTAAGATCTGAGAATCAAGGCAGCCAGGACAGAAAAATCCAGGAGACTTGTTATTTCCAATTAACTGGCAAAAAGATGGAAGTAGAGCTCTGGCTCAAGAAGGTGAATAACAACAACAAAAAGCAAACAAAAGGGCCAAACAAGCAAGGCACTGGATTCAATCCCTACCACCAACCACCCCCCCCCCAAAAAAAAAAAACCCACAAAGTACTGCCCCTACCTCATGAGAGCGGAATTTGGTGTCATCCAGTTTGCGCAAGGCATATTCCATGTCTTCTTTTCTGAGATATTCAACCATCCCCATTCCGTCCTTCTGAACATCTGCATAGCAGACATCCCCAGCTTCTCTCATGTGATCTTTCAGGTCCTGCCAGCTGCCTGATGGAGGAAGTCCTAGGCATAGAGAATATAAGAGCCTAATTTCTTTAGCCATGTTAACTGTCCTGTTAAGATTCAGTAATACCTATGGTCTTTCCCCTATAAATAATTTAATCCCCATGAATCCCCAAATCACAACTCTACATGGGACAGAAAATGAAGAGAAAAACACTAAAGTATATGGTGAAGCTGGTCTTTAACTTTTAGAGACCAAAGTCTCAACAGAGCATCCCATTGCAGGTTTTAGTACCTTTAAGAATTCACAGCATTTCTTTGTTCTTCAATGTTTCCCATTATGAAATTTATCAGTACCAATTATTTCTTGCCTGACCAAGTTTCCCAGGACATAGGAATTCTCAAACAAGTGAAATAAAGTTTAGCTGAAGGTAGCAAATCAACAACAAATACCTACAGTTTGTTTTCCTACAGAAATGAATACTGACAAACCAAAGTACCTCTTAAAGAGATCACCAACATTCTTCACTATAGTTGGGGGTGGGTGGGGGGAGTAATAACTCAGATGCTAAAACTAGTTGGGAGTCATACAACCCTACCTGATGTCATGAAAGGGAAATGTGCTCCTGCTCTCAAAGGCTGTGTTTACCGCTCACAGCTCAGGACTGCAGCCATTTCCTAATAGTTTTCTAAGCAGGATTTCAGAGCAGCATGGAGAGAAAAAAAGATAATGTATGACATCTTGAAGGAGGGAATAGAGCTCTAGGGTTAAAAACTTCACAAAGGGGCACAAGAAAGGCAGATATTGAGTATCACTCTTAAGAACATGGGATTCTGCTGTGGTTCAGACATTCACAATCCTAAAAAAGTGCAAAGCTCAAACATTTCTACCCGTGTCCAGTACTCCCCTGCAACATGCAGAAGGCCCTAGGTATTTTTACCACTTTAGAAATGTTTCAAAGATATATAAACAGCTGAGTTTAGCATTTTATCATTTATAAATACTAGACAGATATGCACTATTAATTTCCATTACAGTCTCCAAGATTACAAGTTGTGGGGTTTCCGTTAGCTAGTTGTTGTTTTCTTTTAAAAAATCTGGCCTTTTTAGGCAAGTTGTTAGAATCTGGCTCCTGTAATATCTTTTTTTTTGGTCTATGGGGCCTGAACTCAGGCCTGGGCACTGTCCCTGAGCTCTTCAGCTCAAGGGTAGTGCTCTACCGCCACTTCTGGCTTTTTCTGCTTATGTGGTGCTGAGGAATTGAACCCAGGGCCTCATGCATGCAAGGCAAGCACTCTTACCACTGAGCCACCTTCCCAGCCCCCTGTAGTATCTTTTAATTAAACAGAAATCAAGGTACATTCCAAAAGAAAATAGAATTGTAGCTCTAAGAGTTTTGCCATCATCTTTCATTCTCCACAATAAGGAACCCCTTTCCAAGCATGTTTATGTTCTACCAAGGCTGAACTGTAATGCAGTTTAATTACAGGGTACCTACCTCACTGACAAGCCAATGCAGGGCTTTAGACTATCACTCTTCATGCATAGGCTATTGAAAAGCCCATGTGTCTCGTGCACAATTAGAATTAACAGTTGACATTACTCATCTGTAGACTGTGCTAAGCAGTTTACATGCATGATCTCAGTGACAAAGGAACATACCTGAAACAAGAACTCGGAAGTCAGATCTTCTTGTAGGAGGCCCACTCCTTGCACCTCGGGTCCACCCACCCCGACCTCCATAAGTCCTGGGAAACTCCACACGAAGCCGGCACTGGCCATAATCATATCCATTCCTTCCATAAATTGCATCCTCAGCATCTCTGCAAAGAAAAATTTGGAGTCAGAGGTGCCCAGGAGTCTGAATGACTTTCTAATGAAAGGGACAAATGATTAAGAGGGGAAACTGACAAGGAAAAACAGAACAAAGTAGGATATGTATATACTTTCATTTTAAAGATCTTTCACGGCACTGAATTAATCTTCACAACTGTCAGACATAAAACTGTAATAGGGTAGTCAGATTACAAATAAAAGGATTGATTTAGAAAAACAAAAAAATCCTGTTGAGAGATTTTGCCACTAAGTTTCTCGAAACTTGGTGAGTAGTTTCTCAAAATGAATATACATTAGGCTTCAATAATAAAGGCCTCATAAAACCTATGAAAAGACCCATTTTAAATAGGTTCAGGGGCTGGGAAGGTGGCTCAGTGGTAGAGCGCTTGCCTTGCATGCCTGAGGCCCTGGGTTTGATTCCTCAGCACCACATAAGCAAAAAGAAAAAAGCTGGAAGTGGTGCTGTGGCTCAAGTGGTAGAGTGCTAGCCTTGAGCTGAAGAGCTGAGGGACAGTGCCCAGGCCCAGAGTTCAGGCCCCATGACCGGACCCAAAAAAAAAAATAGGTTCAGGGGGCTGGGAAGGTGGCTCAGTGGCAGAGTGCTTGCCTTGCATGCATGAGGCCCTGGGTTCAATTCCTCAGTACCACATAAGCAGAAAAACCCAGAAGTGGCACTGTGGCCCAAGTGGTAAAGAGCTATTCTTGAACTGAAGAGCTGAGGGACAGCGCCCAGGCCCAGAATTCAGGCCCCATAACTGACCAAAAGAAAAAAAAATTGGGGCTGGGAAGATGGCTCAGTGGTAGAGCGCTTGCCTTGCATGCCTGAGGTCCTGGGTTCGATTCCTCAGTACCACATAAGCAAAGTATGAAAAAAAAGAAAAAAATTGGTTCGGGGCCTCGGTGTGTGGCTTAGTTTAGTGCTAGAGTGCTTGCCTAACATGCATGAAGCCCTGGGTTTGATTCCTCAGTTCCACATATAAGAAAAAAACGAAGTACACTGTGGCTCAAGTGGTAGAGTGCTACCTTTGAGCAAAAGAAGCTCAGGGACAATGCCTAGGCTCTAGGTTCAAGCCCAGAACTGGGGGGGGGGGGGGGGGGGGGAGGTAGGGGGACAGGAAACTAAACCAGCACTAGTAGCTGATGTCTGTAATCCTAGAGGCTGAGATAAGCTGGGCGCTGGTGACTCATGCCTGTAATCCTAGCTACTCAAGAGGCTGAGATCTGAGGATCTCGGTTCAAAGCCAGCCTGGGCAGGAAAGACTGTGAGACTCCTATCTCCAATAAACCACCAGAAAACCCGAAGTGGCACTGTAGCTCAAGTGGTAGAGCGCTCCCCTTGAGCTGAAGAGCGCAGGAACAGTGCCCAGCCCAGAGTTCAAGCCCCAGGATGGACAAAAAAAAAAAAAAAGGATCAGAATTTTTTTTTTTTTTTTGGTTGGTCGTGGGGCCTGAACTCTGGGCCTGGGCGCTGTCCCTCAGCTCTTCAGCTGTAGACTAGTGCTCTACCACTTGAGCCTCAGCCCCACTTCCTGCTTTTACTGCTTATGTGGTGCTGAGGAATCAAAAGGAGGGCCTCATGCATGCAAGGCAAGCACTCTACCACTGAGCCATCTTCCCAGTGCCACAAGAGGCTGAGATTTGAAAGACTGCTTTGAAATCAACCAGGGCAGAAAAGGTCTGCAGGACCCTATCACCAGTTAGCCAGCAAAATACTCAAATAGCAGGATCACACATGAGCAAGAAAGCTGTACATGAGAACATGAGGGCCTGAGTTCAAAAGCCCTAGTATTACCACTAAAAAGGAAAGAAAGGTGAGAGGAATGCAATACAAATGCCATGGGGGTTTTTTTTGGAGGGGGGAAGGCGTTTTTTGTTGTTTTTTTTTTTGTGGCGCTGGTGCTGAAATTATAGAGGTGTTGCAATGGACAAATCTAGTTGTAGTAGTCATGGGGCTCTAACTCTGGCCCTGAGCGCTGTCCCTGAGCTCTTTAGCACCAGACGAGCACTCTGCCATTTGAGCCACAGCACCACTTCTGGATTGCTGCTGGTTAACTGGACTTTCCTGCCCGGGCTGGCTTTGAACTGTGATCCTCAGATCTCAGCCTCCTGAGTAGTTAGGATTACAGGTGTGAGCCACCGATACCCAGCTGCAACTGCTTTTTTTGTTTTCTTCTTTTTGTGACAGTTCTGGGGCTTGAACTCAGGTGCTGACACTGGGCTTTTTTGCTTAATGCTAGAACACTTACCATTTGAGCCACAGTTCCACTTCCAGCTTTTTGGTAGTTAATTGAAAATACTCTCACTACTAGATGCCAGTGGGTCACACCTCAAGTGGCTAACTACTCAAGAGGCTGACATCTGGGAATCAAGGTTCAAAGCTAGCCTGAACAGGAAAATCTGTGAGGCTCTCACCTCCAGTTAAGAGGGAAAAAAAGAATCCCGCCTGTGCCCAGCAAAAACCAAAACCTTTTTTTTTTGGTCAGATGCGGGGCTTGAACTCTGGGCCTGAGTGCTGTCCCTGAGCCTCTTTGTGCTCAAGGCTGGTTATCTACCACTTGAGTCACAGCACCACTTCTTGTTTTTGACTGGATAATTGGATTTGTCTGCCTGGGCTGACTTCAAATCACCATCCTCAGATCTCAGCCTGCTAAATAGCTAGGATTACAAGCATGAGCCACTGAGGCACAGCAAAACCAAAACCTTTTAAGTGTAACTTTTTTTTCTTTCCAAAAAATTTTCCTTATCATTTTAGGAAAAACATGAATAACAAATCAAGTCTTCTTTGGAAATTATTTCTACTAAAGATTCATAATCAGCATAGTCCTTCAGTGAGTATGTGAGTTCACCTAGACAGTCTCTTTGCATAAAACCTCCCGATCATGCAGTGATTTGTTTATTCTATGACCTTGTTCTGTGGAAAATTGTATGCTATTTTCTCTGACCTTCTTTAGTTCCCGCCTGGACTTTCCTAGCACTGTATCTTTTACTTGTTTCTTCCTCCAGATACACACTGTTCAGCTTTGCACACAGCTTTTTCATAGCTGTTTCACTGTTTTGTAGTTGTGATCTCTCTTGCTGGCACTCAGAAAACAATACCTGTTAGAAGATGAACTATCCGGACAGCACTGTCTGTGGTTGGCCCCCAGCTCCACTGGCTCATGAAGTGTCAATTCTCAAATCTTTTGGATTAATTATCAGATAAATTTCAGTAGGTTGGGACAAGATTACCACTGTCATGGTGCGAGTATAGATGCAGCCTTGCTTCTTGATCTTTGGCACTCGCTGTACTCTGTGCACCCCTCCTTCATATTTCATGTCTTTATAGGCATCTGTTTCCCAGTGCTGGCAGATGCATGTCTAAGGCCACCTATTTCACTTGGAAAGTATTCCAGGATTCCAAAATGCCATCTTTTAAATGAAGCATATTACTGATATGTATCAATTATCTGTGAAGTAAACAACATTGCCTCCTGACCCCCAACTCCTGCAGGATCAAATCATTTTCATCTGTTTCTTCTGGTGCTTCAACTGACATTTCTTTTTGACACAAAACAACTTTATTTTCTGTAAGTTTCCATAAATCTTCATTCTCATTACTACAGTAGGGCCTTGGCCTCTGGCAGTTCCCACTCCCCCTCTCTCTGGAGCCAGGCCACAGCCACCAACTTAGGACTCTGGCCCTGTAACTGGGCTTCTGGGCGATCCAGTAAGGTCCTCAAGGGCCCATGGCTGCGAACAGCTCCTCCAGTGGTGGACCACCAAGCCTGAGGGCCTGTAGGGCTGGGTCTGGAGCCGGAGCATGGTGGGCCAGCAGACACCAGGCAGGCTCTACAGAGGCTGACTTAAATGTAACTTTTTACACAATTTGGATAACTGCCTTGTCAAAATCCACCCTGGCAAAATTTTATCAAAAGGTAAAAACTTTTTTTTCCCCACAATGGGCTGAGAATTGGACCTAAAAAGCCTCGAGTGCTAAGAAAATGCTTTTTACAATTACTTATTAAGTTCAATTTTTCTTAGAAGTTCTAGTTAAAAATGGCCTTGCCAAGCCAGGCGCTGGTGGCTCATGCCTGTAATCCTAGCTATTAAGGAGGCTGAGATCTGAGGATTGCGTTTCAAACCCAGCCCGGGCAGGAAAGTCTGTGATCTCTCCAATAAACCACCAGAAAACCAGAAGTGGCGCTGTGGCTCAAATGGTAGAGCACTAGCCTTGAGCTGAAGAGCTGAGAGAGGGCGCCCAGGCCCAGAATTCAAGCCCCACGACCGACCCCCCCCCAAAAAAAGCCTTGCACCTTCTATAGACAAGCAGAGCTGAAGGTACCATTCAGTGCCAGAGCCACTCACATATAGCCTGTCAAACATACCCACAATTCTAGTACTGGGGGGGGGGGTCCTAAGGTAAAAGGATCTCTAGTTTGAGTCCAGCCAGGGCTACATGGGGAGACCCCCCCAAAGAAAAGCATGTCCAGGGCACCCCAAGCCAACAGATTATATGCCTGGAGCAGAAGTACTAGCACTTAGACTTTGAATACAAAGGGCTTAGTGGCTTTCTGTCAAGTTAGTGGCTTTTTGTCAAGTTTTTATTCAAACTTATACATCTCTAACTTGAATAATATGCCTACCTCCCAAAGTTACTGTAAGGACTAAATAAGATACTAATGTGAGAATGCGTTGTTGAAAGCTTCAGACACTGATATCAGGATAGGGCTTTTCTGTTATGGTAGGGCTGAATGAGAATGTAACAGATCAAAGAGTAACTATGTATTTTAAGAGCAGAACAGGGGGTTCAAATCTTATCTCCTTCGCTGAATAGCCAGCCTCTTTTCTCAACAACTCCCCAGATTTCCTCCTCATCTGGAAAACAGGACCGCCTCACGGTGGCTAAAAGTGCTAAACGTACAGCGTGTGCCACTTGGCAGAACACAGCGATGTTCAAAGTAAGGAGCAGAGAAAGAGGCACAGGCGTCCATCATTTAGGGGTGTAAGCATGCCTAGTTCTGTTTGTGGGGTGAAGAACAGCTGTGCGTCCTGAGCCACCAAAGCCTTGGGGTGCTTCCCGCCGCTCGGCAGGACCCCGAGGGCACCGCTGGCCGCCCGCACACGACGCGGACAAAGCGGGGAGCAGGGCAGGGTGCAGCCTCTAAGCGGGCTCCTCGCCCTCGCCGAGCCCCGGAGCGCTTCCACATCACCGACTCCTCGCGGCCGGGACTAAGACCCCCCCACACAACCGGTCGGATTGGCGAGACCCACCCCCGGGCACTTTAGAAGGTTCCCCCATTCCATTAGAAGGCCCGGGCCCGGCGCGCGCGGTGGGGGATACGCTCCACCCTAGGAACCCCTTCGGGGCGCCCCCCATCCCCGCCGCCTGCTCTCCGCTAACGGCGACTTCGGGCCCAGGGCAAAGGGGCGGGAGGGGAGCGCGGGCGCGAGCCAGACGACGCGCGGGGCCCCCGGAGCCCAGATACGGACTCTGGAGTCAAAACTCGCGAGGAACCGGCCGGGGGGCGCGAGTCTCACCGCGGGTCCTCGAAGCGCACGAAGGCGAAGGGCACCAGGCCGTGCCGGTTCTTGAGCTCGATCTCGCGGATGCGGCCGTACTTGTAGAACAGGTCCTCCAGGTCCTTCTCCCGCACGTCGGTGGGCAGGTTCCCCACGTAGATGCGCCCGTCGCCCTCGCCGCCTCGCTCGTCCGCCCAGCCCGACATCCGCACCGGCCGACGCCGCGGGCCCGCCGCAGCCCACGTCGCCTCAGCCGCCGCCGCCGCCACAGGCGCCGCCTCTGCCACTGGCGCCCCCGCAGCGTCCCCGCGGGCTCCGCGGCGCTCAGCCGCGCAGCATTGTGGGAACGCCGAGCGGAAGCGCGCAGGGGGTCCACGCGCGCCGCCGAGGGAATCCTCTTAAAGGGGACGCGCAAGCGACGACTGCGCGTGCGCGCGATCCGGCGCGCCCCCTCCCCAACTCCCCCGGCACTGAGGGAGCCCGCTAGCCTTGAATTTCTGTCCCCCGACGCAATCCCCTCGCAGGCAGCGTGGATTGGATGAGTGGCTGGGACTCCCGGAGCCAGTGTCCTCCCCGCCCCCCGCCCCGCCCCTTCGGCGGTGCCGCCCGCCTCGCCGGCCTTTGTGAGCGCTCACTGAGGTGTGACCGGGCTGGTGCCGGGGTCTGCGCACGGCTGTCACTCAGCGCGCGCGCGCGTGGCGCCGGAGCGGAGGAAGCCGACCCGCCCGGCGCGAGGCCCACAGCCTCGGTCAGTCCTGCCGCGTGGCCGCGGGTGTCTCCACACCTACCCCCCACACTGTGGCGTGCATCCGGCGGTGTGCATCTTTAATCCTCCCTCACAAGGTGAGACCCCCTGTTACGGGCAGCGGGGGAGCCGGGTCTCCGATGGGGTCTGGGTTCAAATACGCGGTGGGGCCCCCCGTCCAGGGGCCCAGCTGGACCCCGCTCTTGACGCTTTTCCACGTTCACACCCTGTAATGCCCGGGCCACAGGGAGGACTTGCATCTATAGGCTTAACCTTCGTTAAAAATGAAACGTGGTCCGGGGCCGGTGTCTCACACCTGTCATCCCAACTGCTCACGAGGCTGAGATCTGAGGATGGCAGTTCGAAGCCAGCCTGGCCAGGAAGGTCTGTGAGACTCTTATCTCCAATTAACCACCAAGAAAACCAGAAGTGGCGCTGTGCACAGCTCAAAGTGGTAGAGCCTTGAGCAAAAAGCTAAGGGATCCAGGCGCTGGTAGCTCAAGGCGCTTGAAGCCAGCCTGGGCAGGAATGTGCCTGAGGCTCTTATCTCCAAGTAACCAGGAGAAAACCAGAAGTGGAGCTCTGGTGCAAAGTGGTAGGGGGCTAGCCTTGGTGCAAAGTGGTAGGGGGCTAGCCTTGAGTAAAAGAGTTCAGGGACAGCATCTGCACGCAGGCGGGAGAGACCAAGGGACAGCGCTTAGGACCTTAAGTCAAGCTCCAGGACACACACACACGCACGCACGCACGCGCACACACACACCTACCTCTATGGATTGGTGGCAGATAGATTGACAAACCTTTAGTACTAGAGTGATTACTGTAGGCTCTAGGTGGTGATGTGTTTGCCAACCTTTTTCTGTTCGAAATTTTTCATAATAAAATCTTGGAGCCGGAAAGGAAGTGTCTTGGTATGTGCTGATAATCCCAGCATTCAGGAGGCTGAAGCAGGAGGGAGGATTTTGAGTTTGAGGCCTGCCTGGACTCCAAAAGGAGGCCCTGTGTCCAAAAAATAGCAACAAAAAGTTGGGAACAAGAAGTAAAAATGTTTAGCAAACACTAGTGATAGGGGATGTAGTTCAGTGGTGGAGTGCTAGCCTGTCATGCACAAGGTCCTGGTTTTGATCCCCAGGCTCAACAAAAACAAAAATACAGTAGTAAGGGAGTAAAATCAAACATTAAAACAGTTGATTAGTTGATGTTTGTTTATAACTCCTCTCAACCATTTAAAATGAAGACAAAAAATTAAAAACAAATAGTGAAAATATAACTTTTACTTTCAAAATATAATCATTCATGGACTGGGAATGTGGCTTAGTGGTAGAGTGCTTGCCTAGCATGTATGAAGCCCTCGAAACAGAAAAAGACAAAAGTGAGGCTGTGACTCGAGTAATAGAACACTAGCCTTGAGCAAAAAGAAGTTGAGGGACAGTGCCCAGGCCCTGAGTTCAAGCCCAGGACTAGCAAAAAAAAAAAAAAAAGCCAACCTCCTAATAACAAGCAAGTGGTACAGCAGCATAACACTGAATGCTGCACAATTATTAAATCATGTCTTGAATATGTTACAATCATGCTAATTTAGATGTAAATGGTACTTAACATATACATACATAATTATATATTCTGAAGGGATCTATTAAGCTGGTTGATATCAGTTATCTATAAAGAATGCAGTCATGGAAATTTCAGTTTAGAAGTCATATATTACTGTAGAATTAACGGTTGTTACTATAATTGTATTTCATTGTCTTATGCTAAAAATTTTTAAAGAAAATAAAAGCTTATATTCCATTTCTAATACTGTATATATGCATATTCATCTGATTACCTATCTGTCCTCATTACTTGTACCAAAAAAAAAAAGCATTGAAAAAGTAATTTAACAAATATCTGTGGAGACTTTTTTTTGTCTTTTCTATTTGGAGAGAGATTTCTTGATGGCAGTGATTTTTTAAAATTTTTATAGTTTTCTATGTTTGTGAAGTTGAAATTAGCCTAGATACCTTTTGCAAATGGAATAAAACATAATAAATGATTTCTAAAATAAAAACAATTGGATTGCGTGTGTGCTGTTTCTGGATTATGTAATGTTCTAGCTGTTCTCTGCTGGTCTTCAGAAGGCAAACTAGAAAGATTCTTGGCAAAGTAAGATCTTGAGTCTATGTAAACAGTCTTATAGGAGCTTATGTGTCCTACAGGCGTTCCAGAGTCCAGATGCTTCCTCATTTGAGGATCTAGGTGCTTAGATATACTAATATCATTCTCTTGATCCTGTCATTCCTGTGTGACTTTGCCTGGGAAGATTTTTAGCTGCTATTTGAGTTAACTAGACAGTTGCTATGGAGAGAGTAGTTAGCTAAATGACCTAATAGGACTCTAGATAGGAAACTGCTAGCAAATAGTAATGATCAAGCTTGTATTACAAAGTCCTGTAGCATGCAATCCCCCAAAAGGGTTTAGTTACTTAACAGATGGGGCAAGTACAGCTTTCTTGGATTAGAAACAGCACAGCTCATTTGTGAGGAAGTAGCTATGACCAACCACAGAAATCCAGAGGTGGCTGGGTACCAGTGGCTCAAGCCTAATATCCTGACTACTCAGAGGCCTAAGATCTAAGCCTGAGAATAATGGTTCAAAGCCAGCATGGGCAGGAAAGTACATGAGACTTTTTTTTTTTTTTTTTTGGTGCTGATCCTGGGGTTTGAACTCAGGGCCTAGGTGCTGTCCCTGAGCTTCTTTTGCTCAAGGCTAGAGATCTATCACTTGAGCCACCGCTCCCCTTCACTCTTTTTTGATAGTTTTAATGGAGAGAAGAGTCTAACAAGGGGCTGGGAAGGTGGCTCAATGGTAGAGTGCTTGCCTTGCATGCTTGAGGCCCAGGGTTTGATTCTTCAGTACCACATAACCAGAAAAGGCCAGAAATGGTGCAGTGGCTCAAGTGGTGAAGTGCTAGCCTTGAGCTGAAGAGCTGAGGGACAGCGCCCAGGCCCAGAGTTCAGGCCCCACGACCAACAACAACCAAAAAAAAAAAGTCTAACAGACTTTCCTGTCCGGGTTGACTTCCAACCGTGATCATCAGATCTCATCCTCCTGAGTAGCCCAGGCCATCAGTGCTTTGGCTACATGAGTGGCCTGGCACTGTTGGCTCATGCTTAGAATCCTAGCTATTCAGGAGGCTGAGATCTGAGGATCATGATTCAAATACAGACTGGGTAGAAAAGTCCTTGGTGAGACTCTTCTCTCCAATTAACCACTCAAGAACTAGAAGTAGCACTGTGCCTCAAAGTGGTAGAGTGCTAGCCTTGAACAAAAGAGCTCAGGAGCAGCAGCACCAGGCCCTGAGTTCAGGCTTTACAATTGACAGAAAAAATCCTGAAATGGAGTTGTGGTTCCAGTGGTACAATGCTTAGCCTTGAGCAAAAAAGCTCAAGAATCCAGTGCCCATGGCTCACGCCTTGAAGCTGAGATCTGAGGATCACAGTTCAAAGCCAGCCCCAGCAGGAAAGTCCTTGAGACTCTTACCTCCAATTAACCACCAGAAAACCGGAAGTGGTGCTGTGGCTCAAGTGGTAGAGCACAAAAAAAAAAAAAAAAAGCTCAAGGACAGTATCCAAGCCCTGAGTTCAAGCACTAGGTCTGGCACCAAAAATTAAAATTTAGGTAGGGTTGGAAATACTGCTTAGTAAAATAGGGCTTTGTGGAAGTTGTTTGCTTAGCATGCTCTGGCTCAATCTCCAGTACAATAACATAATAATTAATTTAATTATTTAAGGGTAAATGTCTACCAGAGAGTAGGGTTGTGCCCAATTAGAAAAAAAAAGACAACACAAATGAAAAAACATTTTGCAAACCTGCTCATCTGGTTTCCTCCCTTCCCCTGTGCCATCGGGGTGGCAAAATGTTCCTTCTGCATAGGGCTCGGTGGCAGCTTCTTCCAGACCTTGAAGGCAGAAGAGGAAGTGACAAGGACTAGACCACCAGGGGGAAAGTGAGTCACCTAGTAGAAACTAATCCTGGCTGGCAGGGAGAGTGCTGGACTTGGTTACTGTGGAATTGTGTTCTTGGTTATAGCAACCTGGGAACTTGCTTTCTGTTATATGTGTCACTATATTTATGAGACAAGGCAAAAGAAAACATTTCTGAACTGGGGTATGGCCAAAAGGTAGTGTTCCTGCCTTTGCATAGGTTTTGGGTTGATCTCCAGCTAAGAAAAAAAAGATAATTAAAAACAAAACAGCCATGTGCCAGTGGCTCAGTAATCCTAGCTACTCAAGAGGCCAAGATTGTGGTTCAAAGCCAGCCTGTCAATCAACTTTAGCTCTAATCAACCACCAGAAAACCAGAAATGGCGCTGTGGTTCAAAGTGGTAGACTGCTAGCTTTGAGCAGAAGAGCTCAGGAACAGCACCCATGCCCTGAGTTCAAGCCCCACTACCCACAAAAAAAAAAAAAAAAAAAAACATTTTGAGTTGTTTGTGGTGGTTAACATCTATCATTTCAACTACCCAGGAGGCCACAATCAGGACTGCAGTTTGGGCTAGCATGGACAAAAGGGAGATCCCATCTCAACCACGAAACAAGATGATAGCTTTTGACTATGATCTCAGCCATGCAAGAGGTGTAAAC